GCTTTAAGCTCTACGAAAATTGAAATCTTAAGCTTTATTGTTTGACTTTCCCCACAGCTCGCGGCCCGCATGCAAAGCGGCTCGCCTGGAAGTCTGAGTATTCGCCTCAATGGCTGCTGCTGCCGAATGGCGATATAGCGAGAAAGTGAATAAAAATGCAGCAAAAGCAATTTTCATAAATATTTAATGGGTAATGGTGAAAATAAGCACAACGAAAACGTAGCAGGACGACGAGGGCAGCTTCTTCTCTGACAAGACGCGACGTACTGGTATACAAGTAGTATTGTTTTGTTTCTGTAGGACACTGGCTTACTACTCGTATACACTACATACAAATGCTTATAAACGTGTGTATGTATATTTTGTACACGACTAGCACATATGGCCCCATGGTGTCTCCGTACACATGTGTGTATGTATGAACTATGAATCTGTGCTTTTCAGCTCGCCGTTCAAATTGATTTCGCGCGAAACACTGAAAAGGCAGCGGTGCGCATTGTCTGTGCTCCTTGTGCTGCACGGCTCAGAGGCCTTTATGAGCCATTACAGTCGGCGAAAATCATAATACTGAACATGAGACGGAAGGCAGAGCACGCAGCATTGTCTGCATGGAGAGTGAGGGGCGATTGCTGCCAGTTTGGGGCGCTCCTGTTACTTAATCGATGATGATGAATAATTGATTTGTGCGAGGCGCCAAGGCATGGAAATAAAAATGTCGGTGGGCGAGAGTCGGCGGTGATGAGGCAGAGGGAAGTGTAGAGGCGGAAAGGAATGGGAGTTGGATACTATCTGAGCTGTGTATGTGGCAAATTTCAGGAAACGGAAATGGCAATTGCAAGCACCGAAAAGCAAAAGCGATGTTGTGTGGTAAATGAAATGCCAGCCCATTCAGCAAGACGCGGGAACCGGAATGTGATTGGAGGGTTGGCGTTCGGTAGACAACTGTCAAGACATACAATTCGTTTGCAAAGAAAATCCTGCTTAAACTGAGATCATGGCGACCTGTAAAACAAAAATTGAAATAAAATGAAACAATAACAATATGCACAGGTGTCTTCGAAAAAATTGTAATGCAATTAGGATGAAATCGTGCAAAGCTTCACATCTATCATACATATACATTAAAACGCAAAGGAAAATGATGTAACTTCTTCTTAACCGACCTAAAGCTAATATGTGTTCGTTCTTTTGCGTGTCAAAGCAATATAACAAGCTTAGTCTTCGTACAGCCGGGCGGATGGGAATGTCTATATAAATTCCTCTCGCATGTACTAATAATATAGGATCTTATACGCCTAAATCTACATACTCGTATGCAGATTCCGACTTTATGGTATACCCTCGCAGCCAACTCTTCTTTCTGTTTGTTCTCATATCGAATTGGTGGTTCAAAATATGGCAAATGGGTCGTTAACCATCTTGGTGATTTCAGCGTTTTCACTTATTTTGATTCCTCGGTCTTCCAGACCCATTTGGTGAATTTGAGTGAAGTCTTCGTTTTGTAAATGAAAGAGAACAGTCCCCATAGACAGCGTCCACATTTCCAAAATTTTTAATCATGGCCTGGAAATTCCGACTGCCCTCGTATGCGCCAAAATGCGCTTTGGTGAAGAAGGCAAGAAGGGCAGGCCAATGGTTTATAAAGTATGTATGTATGTATATTTGTATGTTGTGAATATATGTACAATCAAATGCAAAAATAAAAAAATATTATTTCGCCTATAAAAGCCACTCTCTTTGTCTCACAAGTTGGCATTGAAGTTGAATGAATCAAAGCTTCCTTGAATAATTGATGTTGTGGTAGGCAGAAGGGAAGCATAAGGCTTGCAATCTCGAAAACAAAAATAGTTGCGGAGCAAATAAAAAATCGTAATACATACGATGAACGTACATATACTTCTGTATGTTTGATATTTAAGCAAAAATTCAGTGTTACGGGCAATTAGCTTACTCAGCGCTGCTTTGAATGCCCGATGAAAGAACACTCACTCGTCAACAATCATGCGACTGGCCGAGGCATGCTACTTCTACATACATACACTATACACTATACATAGAAGATAGATGATGGAACATAAGTATTTTGTTTCTGCATACTGCGTGATGCAAGCTGCTAGTGGGCTCTGCAATTGCCATCGTTCTTGCGGCAGGACAATGACAGCCAGGCCAGCAACGCAGAAGGCCGGAGTGGCGACGACGATGGAACTCGACGGTCGACGCTCGACGCTCGCCGTTCAAAATAAATTGCAATTTTATCGTGTATAATTCAATTAAATGATTTGCTTTTGTGTTCTTCGTTTTGCGCTGCGTGTTCTGCTATTCTGGTGACATTATTTCGTATGTTTTTTGCTCCTCCTCTTGTTTTTCCTTACGCATTTTTCATGTGGCGCTCGCTGCACTTTCTGGTGATTTATTATTGCCTCTGCACTTTGCGCGCTCATTGTGTTTTAACCTATTGTGTGCGAGCATCTAAAAATAAAAAAGTTGCACTTGGCTGCACATTTGAAATCTCAGCAAAAGTCAAGTTACACATCCCTTGCCCGCTCTTCCCATTTTGCCAATCCTACACGTCAGCTACGCCACGATGCACAGATACCACAGAATTTAGATTTAAATATTTTGGCATTTCCATCAATTTTCGGCTAATGCACCAAAAGAGTGGGGACAGAAATGACAACGGCTGCAGCAATATCTGGAGTTCGGCACGCTTTTGCATACCCTTTTCAAATACTTTGCGATATGTGATGAGCTTTGTCGCATGTGGGAATGCCTGATGGAGATAGTGCTAGTATATACTTGTACGAGTATATGTATATGTACATAAGTATATACATATATGTACATATATACACACACATTCTGATTTAAATTCAATCATTTATGCGGCAATCAGTACAGTCGTCCTTCCACACGTTCGGTTACGGGCTTTTGGTCTATTAGCTCCTTCCATACGAACGGCATGTTGGTTCGAAGCAGTCGATTCAGAAAATGTTGTTCTAGCAACAAAGCATGTCCATTGGAACCACGGCTGATAAAACATACGAGTATTTTACCACTAATAAGCTATGAGTGTACTCGATTTAAGATGGAAAATTAAATTATGAATAAGAATAGTAGAAGTAGAATGTACCTTTGATAAAAAATTAAGTACTACTATATTTGCATAACACTCAAGACTTAAGCTTGTAGGAAGGACGCAATTCGTGAAAAAATATTCGCTTTCAAGGTAGCATACTCGTGGACTGTGTAACTAACTCGTGGATCTGGAAAAACTGAAATTGTATTATGTGAGTGATTTAAAAGTTGGAATCAAATTAAGTTGATTGCATAAATTGACTCAGTGCATTTAAAATTTGGGATATGCAGAGCAAAAATGCTACGAATATTTTTCAATGACAATTTGTATGCACGTCAGAACGGCTATGACGGGCAGAGGCGGATATGCCGTCAGAATGCAAGAGCAGAATATACTTATACATACATATGTAAATGTATATACTCGTATTATATGCACATTTAAAATTAACTTTAAATCAGCGAAACAAGCTTTCTTCTTGCTAGTAAGAATTTAAGCGAGACCCATTCGTACTTATCGGAAGTGGAAGCTGTATGTAGGAAATAAATAAAAATAGGTAACTGCATATATGACTAGTTTAGATTGACATTAAACATTTCCTTTAACATACACGCATTTATAAGAAGTGAGTAACCTTTTCGCTATTTAGACCCTGCACCTAAAATGTGTAAAGGTTATAGCATTAGGTATGTGCAAAGGAAAATATATTTTTCCACCAAATGCTCCAAAGCAGCAACAAGCATTTATGCATTTATGGCTATAACCTTCTTGAAAATCCACCCAACATTATGAAAATAAGCATACGGACTCATAAACACTAAGAGACACATAATTTTGTGTCTCTATCTCTTATAGTCTCTGAAATCCAAGTGATCATACGGACGTACAGCTAATCAGGGCTAGATCGATTGTCTTTTTATCATGATCAGCAATTTATGTATTTACTCCCGAAAACATAATATACTCTTGTACATTTCATGTACAAACAAACCAACAGCGAAAAATTCATAAAACTGCCCAGAAATAAAAAAGTCTTCACATGCTTGATTATTGAAGATGTAGTGCGCTTTTAATAATATGTAATACATATGTACATACTATATATGATATAGTATTAATAATATTAATATTGTGTATGCTCGAGCATTGAAAACAAACAACATATAGGAGCAGAATCATCAAGAGAGAACGCTACAGTCGAGCAAGTGAAATACCGTGTGCCCAGGTTAACTTCCGACACTGAGTTATATGCGCCTCTAGCAGAAGCACAAGGAAGAAGAAGAGCTTGATGCTGCAACTTGTGGGCGTAGTACCGGAGTGAAATTGTTTTGCTATTAACTTTTCTTAGAATTAACCGATTTAGATAAAATAAAAGTAAAAGTATATTTTTATGTATGAATTATGTGTGTAAAGTTTGGCTTAGATAGCTTTTGAAATGTGGATGGTACTGACGAAATTCTGTAGCGGGGGAAGAGGGGTAAACTCAAAAAAATAAAATAAATCCGTCCTTTCTCGGACCTAGGAGAATCTGCATACCAATTTTAGCTATTCCAGCTTTTATAGTTTTTTAGATCCTTCCGTTCATCCAGACAGACGGACAGACATGTATAGATTGATTTCTCTCGTCATGCTGATTCAGAATATATATACTTTATGGGGTCGGAGATGCTTCCTTCTGCATGTTACATACTTTGCACAAACCTAATATACCCTTTTTACCCTACGGTTTATACCCTATAAAAATAAAGATTAATATTCTAATATTTAAAAGACCCTTAGATTGAATCGAATGCACGAGGGTACATAAATTTGAAAACTTTATAAAAACAAATGCATACTTATAGGCTTTGTGTGAAATGTCAACATGATTGCCGCAAAGTATGCCTTGAGCACATCTATTTCTAAACGTGCCTTATATTCTCACACACTGTTCAATTGTAAAAGTAAATTAAGAAACATTTCTGAAATGGCCGCATCTAGCAATTCGTATTGCCCAGGTCTCATCACTAACAACGAAAGCCTGAACGAGGTCGCTCTTCCCAATGTAAAGCGCATCAAGAACATCCGTGAGTTCATGGCCGATCCGACCAACTACGATGGAAATATAGATAAGCTCATCGGGCGCATGGCCAACGAGGCCACCAAGTGCCAGGAAATTCTCAAAGTGCTGAAGGAGGAGGTGCTTCGAAAAACCGGGTCCCTGCGTCAAATTAAGGCGGACATGATGCAGCTTCAGCAAGAGCTGAAATCCGCCAACGCTGGCAATCGGTTTGCTGTTGGCCATGAGAAGATACTCGTGAAATTCACAGACGAGTCCGAAGGAAAGGAATACGACGTGCCACAAGCTTTGGAGTGCTATAGTCTGAAGATGAGCTCGCTGTTTGGGGAGATCTTAGCTTTGGATAGCGATGTCGACTATGTCGTTTACTTAGAGGGCATTGCCCAGCTGAACAAGCAGTATGTGCGTGATTGGTACGATCGCGAATATTCAACTGAGCAGCACTCCAAGCAGCAGGCACTGGTTACCGCTGCCGAGCAGCAGGCAACCGCTGGTGCCGGCGATGTTGGATGCAGCGCCGACGAATCCAATTGAGACTGATTCATGACAAGAGCGATCCTTAAATTATTAACTTTGTTTTTGTTTGGCCCCTCTAAAACATCCCAATGATTTACAAAATGTTATTTTGCTCATAAATTATATTGTTTTTATTTTTAAGCATTAGGCTTCTGAGTTCTTATATAGTAAGTGTATTGTATGGAGAACCTAATACCTAGACTGGTAATTGTTAAGACTACTTATCCTGGGGAAAAGTTTGATCACTTTTGATCTTAGAAAATGTAACTAATAATGATTGAACCTGGTTTGTGTCATCTGCCACTCTATTTGCAAGACCTAGAAGGAAGAATGGTCGACTAAATGGTACATGTATTCGTACATGATCGGCATGTCTACTGACGTCGCGACCGACCATGTCTGATTACTGCATTATTATACTTTATACTATTTTGGCTCAGATGCTTCAGAACAAAGCTTTACGGCTGATCACTGGTTGCGGTTCCAAGGTGCACCTTGACAAAAAACTGAAGACCATTGAGCTCCAGATATACAGACATAGACGTAAGAGAATGTAGAAAGGTTTAATCATTCTTAGCGAAGGAGGCATGCAGTTGCGCTTATATTAAATAACTAGCAGGTATTGCCGGTCATAATCCGGCTTAATATAATGTTTCAAATTGTATTTATTTTGTATGTGCATGACCTACCCATATGTTTTCACATTATTTGTTACCAGTAGGAAGTACACACATATGACCACTATAACTAATATTTGTTAAAGCTCGTCTTCCCCCTTTGGAGCTCGAATTTTCCAAAAGCCTTTCTTAGTGCGCACCTATACTATGATGGAAAGGGTACTTGAGTCCAAATTTCAGCTTCCTAGCTTTTATCGTTTGGGCTGTGGGGTGTGTTGATTGTGTTTCAATTTTGCCACGGGAAAACACCCCTTTTTCATGTCACAGGAAAATTGGTGAAAAACCAAGTAGTGTTCGATGGGTTTATTGTTGCGCATAAAACTATATTTGATCACGATCATAATGTACCAAGGGGAGCTTCGGCGTTGACGAATACAATTTCTGAGCTCAATTATGATTTCAAACAAGAAATAAATAATTATCATTCTACACTGCGGACAGTTTGAACTGGGGACTGATGCTGCTACTGCTCTTTTCCATTTTCATTTTCATCCACTTCCTTGATTATTTGATGCACGTTTTCAGGCGCATAAACGCTTTCAGTTATGCAATAAATAAAATGCAATTGTTGCGCCAAGTGTTGGCGCCCAGAAGCAACAAGAAGAGAAATGAAAGCGGCAGCAACAACAACAACATCAACAGTAACAACGCAAAAACCGCCATGTTTTTTCACAGCTGCAAGATGGCGTCCGGTATCCGCTTGCAGGCATCCAACCCAGTCCACCAATCCAAGTAATTTCGCTTTGTTGTTGTTTTTGCCATAGTTTCTGGCGTCTGCTATAATTCCGCCTGGAAAACTTGTTTCTGGGCCCAACTTCCGCCGTCGCAGTCGTTGGGCGGCTCTGGCTTATTTAGCTTTGGTTTAATTTTACAAAACAGCGGAGCATTTAAGCGCAGTAAAATATACGTGTTTTGTGCAGCAGTAACTGCAGGAGCATCTACGGTAAAGGTCAACGGGTTGCGTAAGTAATGCCAAGAGACAACGGCAAAGTTGTGCGAACTTAACGTTCAACCAGCATTGAAGTGCAGTTTGCAGTTGCTAATTGAGTGGCAAGAGCCGGTTGCTTAATGTACGTAATTAGCGTAAACTGGCTGACAAAGATGCAGGCGAAAAGAAGGTAGAGCAGAGCAGCTGTTTTGTATTTACATAAGCTGGGATTTGAAGCTGCTGTGAATTCATAGCCAGCATATATCCTTACTTTGTCACTCAGGTACCTCTTCACCCCTCTAATCTGTCGGAGAAAACCCATTTGCTTGTTAGGCAAGACATACTAAGTACTTATATATGTATCAGAAAACACAGCTGGAAAGCTTGAATAAAATCAACAAGGCCCTTATTAATTTGAAAATAAATCAATTGTAATTCATTACGGGAGGACACTTTATTTGTGCGTTCTGAAAAATTATTCACACAAATAAGATCTATTGTTCCATAAGGAAATAAAATGTAATTATAGCTATCGCTTCATGTATTCATTAGCAACGAGTAAAACATAAAAGTAGAGCCAGCCCGACTCTTCAATACCTCTACCTGTACTCTGCAGCCTTCCACAGAGATTAAATTTGTTGCACATGCCAGCCATTGTCGAAAGTTCTTTAATTTGTCCCTTGACACTGCAGTTTTTACAACTATTTGGAAAAATGCTTTACGATTCTGACACAAAAGTCGAAAGACCGAACGAGAAAGACTTGGCGAGATTTGGGTTATTCCTTAATTACTTCAAGACTTCATTAAAACACTTGATTCAGTAATTCACTATACTTCTCTTTAAACATTTGGTTGAATTTCCTCATATCATAAAAGAAGGACTCAAAGATAATTGAATGCAGCTGTGCACTTGCTTTAAATACAAGTTCATGACTTTTCATCGGTTCAGACCACAATTATTCATTTACGCATATACTTATTATGTATATGATTGACAATGAAACACTGCACCGTATATTTACAGTCTAAGATCTTGGAGTCCTTTTTAATATTGAAAGTTGAACTTCAATCTTCACATCTATTCCATCGTAAATAAGGCGTTCTTGGATTCATTAACCCCCATACCTATTACTGTACAGTTCTCTTGTACACCGTGTACTGGAATACTCCTCATGCGTTTGGCATCCGCAGAGTAAAACGCACCCAACTGGGATTCCAACTTTCGTTTGTCATCCTATTCAAGCAGACTTTTACTGTTCAATATTTCGTAGCTAGTTGGAGGACTGTTCTTGGTATTGTGCTCTCCGCCAATTGATTGGTTGTCTGAATTTGTAAGTTTCTTGCAGAATAACAAGAAGGGGTCTTCTTCTTCGTCTGAATTTGTCAGTTTCTTGCAGAACAACAAGAAATAATCTTCTTCTAATCATAAAAATGTAGATCTACAAATGATTATGAATTGCAAAATCCTTTACGGATTTTATATTTTACTAGCTGACCCGACAGACTTCGTCCTGTCAAAAAGATTTGTAATGTGGCAGTTTTTGTGCCTACGTATTTTAAAAAATTCTCCTGAACAGAACCGTCACCCTGGTGATAGGGCGTTGTGAATAAAAAATAATTAAATAAAACATATATAAGGATTTAAAAGTAACTAATCGCTTTATTGTTAATCATGTGAATCATAATTATTATTATTATCATTGTAGTGCTTTGTGGTATACGATGTTTTTTGTTTGATTACCTGGCGCATAGATAAACAAATCTGATGGTTTTCCAACACGGGAACAGGCAACATACAATTGACCATGTGAGAAACATGGGTTTTCTAGATTAATACCACAAACACTTAATGATTGCCCCTGGGACTTGTTTATAGTCATAGCAAAAGCAAGCCGCACTGGAAACTGTAGTCGTTTAAACTCAAATGGCACATCAGTCGGAATCATTGGGATGCGCGGTATGAGAACATCTTCTCCTTTATACTTTCCTTTGAGTATAGTTGCTTCTATCACATTGTTTAGTAATTTTTTTATCGCTAACCGTGTACCGTTGCAAAGACGCGGTTGGTTGATATTTCGCAACATTATAACCACCGATCCAACCTTTAATTGAAGATTGTGAGGTGGCAATCCTGGCAAATCCAGCGAGTTTAAAAATTCCGGTGGATAGTTGACTACATCATCTTGATTAGTAGCCGAATCAACTGATTTATATATCCTCAATTCGCCTGTAATTTGTTCTTGAATTTTGAAATTTAATTCATTTACATCGATGTTTTTTGCAGCCAGTATAGCTCGTTCGCTCAACCAATCATGGTTTCTGTAATTTTGAGAAACATCTGGAAACACCTTCTGAATAAGTTAATCTTTTGATCGAGTTAACTGACAAAAACTTTGAGGAAAGTTAATGCAGCCGGTCAACATGTCTATAGGAAATTTGCCATTACCAATGTCAATGAGTTGTTTAGAGAATATGTTTCCAGATTGGTCATTTTGCAACTCGACACGCATATTCTTGCTTAAATGAAGTACTTTGACATGTTTCCACAAATTGGAGGACTTTAGACATGCATTGAGTTCATCAGCTGGCGTTGATCGTGGAATCACTGGCAATGTTTGACGAAAATCTCCTGCTAATAAAATCATTGCACCACCAAATCGGTTATTATTGCTCCGTAGATCTTTTAAGGTTCTGTCTAAAGCCTCCAAAGATTTTTTATGTGCCATCGTGCATTCATCCCAAACAATCAATTTACATTGCTGCAAAACCTTTGCCATTGCAGAGTTCTTCTAAACGTTGCAGGTTGGAGTTTCATTGCTTTGCATATTTAATGGCAATTTTAGTGCTGAATGGGCTGTTCGACCACCTTGAAGCAAAGTTGCTGCGATTCCCGACGAAGCGAGTGCAAGTGCAATTTTATTTTGTGAGCGAATTGTTGCTAATATTAATGAAATCAAAAAAGTTTTTCCTGTACCACCAGGTGCATCTAAGAAGTAAATCCCTCCAGTTTCATCATTTGTTACTTTCATAAGAGTTTCAAATACATACTTCTGTTGTTCATTTAACAGTGGAAGATTTGTTTGAATTAATTCTTTCAAAGCGTTGAGATCATACAGTCTTTCTCGATGCAACTCTTGGTTAAAAGCGTCATGCATTGGACGATTGGGCGCGGTCAGGCCTAATTGAATTAATAGTTTGTTTGACATTATCAAGCACATGTCCTCAATTGAAATCAATGCTTCATTGTAAATTTCTTCACTGATTTATATATTTGGATTTCCCATTCTATTCCGTATTTGTTACAAAATATCATCACACATATAATCTTTGTACTTGTACTTGTACCATCAACAGTTCGTAACTGTTGGAATGATGTTGGGCCACGTACATTGACTAATAGCAGTCGTAAATAAAAACATTCATCATTGCTTGGATGTACTGAATAAATCCGGCCAATCGCATCGGTGGAATATACATCTGTATATCCTGGAACTGGTTTTCCTTGTTTCCGTCGTATAAATCTCCTTGAGGATTGATTCCAG